TAAAATTTTTAAACAAACGTTTGATTTAATAATTGTTCTGCCCCTTAGCTACTCCCTGCTAAGCATCTTAAAGCTGGAGAGGAAGTTAGAGGAAGGTTGTGTGTGTTTTTTAAAGCTTGAGAAACTGGACTTCCCTACATTTCAAAGTACAAAGGCCTATTAATTCAAGGAAAGGGCCAGGGAGGCAGAGTGATTCAATTTAGTAGGTCACCGGGTACCTCTTCCTCTCTCCTGCCAAATCAAGGCTCACCCCAGTCCCAAGCGGCCAGCAAGAGGGCAGTCCTCTGAAAAAGTGAAAGTAGTTGAGGAAAAAGAAAAAGCAGCCAGCCAGAAGAGCCTGGGGAGCTCTCATTATATTTGAACAGAGCCAGTGAAAGGGGCCTTTGCTGAGCCCCTGGGTGGGGCCACTCCATTACACTCCCATTGTAAATTCCATCTGTGTGCTATCATTTCCTGACCCAGAAACAAGAAAATGCTTCAGCTGTAACTTTCCCTAGGACCTTGGCTGGCCACAAAATCATTCCCTCTGAAGTTCACCAGCTCCTTCAGATTTCGTAAAGGTTTGAGAATGTTTGCCTATGATTCCCTCTCCCCATTTTCTAAAGGGTCTCCTCCCCATCTCCTGCATTTCCTTCCAGGAACTGGATCCTCAGTGAAGTGAAATAAAACTAGGATGGTTGTGAGGAAAACTCTGGGGGAAATCAGAAGCTTTCTTGTCCTCATATGAAAAGCTTAAAATATCTGGCTGGCCCAAACCTAATGACTATGATTAAATAAGCCTGAGAAACTGAGGACGTAAGTAGGACAAGAAAACAGAAATAACTTAGAGCAGTGGCTCTCAAACTCTAGCATGCACCAGAATGGCCTGGAAGAGTTTCCGATTCAGTAATTCTGGGGTAGGGCCTGAGAATGTGCATTTCTCATGAATGCCCAGTGGTGCTGGTGCTGCTGGCCCAAGGACGGTACTTTAAGAACCCCTGGTGTAGTGAGTGGCTGTTCATGCCTCAGACATCAAGCAGGACATTAGATATAGTCAGAGGCTCAATAACATCTGAATTCAGACTCCATAAACATATTCTGGCACTTACACACAAACACAGGCTAAGTACTTTTTATGGTAATCATTATGGCTCTCAAGTCTACCACACAGTTATACACAAAATAGCATTTTTATAGGTCAACTTCATTTTCATCTCTATTCCATCAGAGAGGCAAAAACACATAACCTCAGCTAATTGGAAGTCTTCCTCCCACTTTCAGGGAATGCCTCTGGCTCTGGGTGTTTATGGAGAATCACGGTGGGGGAGTAAAAAGGGGGATACATTCCTGTGCTTGCTGCCATCCATCCTTGTGGTTGTCAAATGAAATCACCATCACCTTGTGTGGCCTATAGGCTTCAATCCTTACTGATCATCATTGGAATGTCCCTCACCCCCAAACTGCTTGACCCCTTCCAGCCGACACCATTTCTGGGCCACATTTGGGAACCTGGAATCTGCAGACCATGTCCATTCTGCTCCCAGGGCTCTACCCATAAAGCAGGACAGAGAGCCTCTCTCTCTCTCCGGGACTTGCTGCATATCTACTTTCATCACACACCCTCTGTCTCTCCTTCTTCTCACCCTATCCCTCTCCTCTGCCCAAAATAATGGAATCTTTGCCAGTCGGAAGGAGAGTCTCTCTCTCTTCAAACCCCTTACTCTCACTCATTTTGGCCATGTCCAGGGCTCTCAGTGTTCCCCCTAAGGACGTGGTCGGCAAACCGCGGCTCGCGAGCCACATGCGGCTCTTTGGCCCCTTGAGTGTGGCTCTTCCACAAAATACCAACTTCTGCTCATGGGCCACAAAGTTTTAATCGCACTGTATGTGCGTGCTTGCATGTGGTATTTTGTGGAAGAGCCACACTCAAGGGGCCAAAGAGCCGCATGTGGCTCGCGAGCCGCGGTTTGCCAAGCCGCAGTTTGCCAACCACTGCCTTAAGGGCTTTAAGCTTTTGAAAACCAAAGCCAGAAAGATTCCTATTTGATTTTTCTGCTCTGGCATTTCCTTCCCTTAGTTAATGAGCACAGAATGGCTTAGCTACTTGAATGGGGAAAACACATAAAGGGAAAATGCTTAGAAGAGAGAAAAAATAAATTAATTTTAAATAAACGCACACCTTACCATTTTAGAATTACCTATTATTATCTTGCAATATCTACATTCTCCTATTTAATCTTCAAGGCGATCCTATGAGGTAGACAGTATTCTACCCATTTTAAAGATGAGAAAATTGGGGCTCAGAGAGACTAAACATCCCTGCCTAAAGTCACATATGTCAGGTTTTGAATTCAGAACTTCTGGTTCTGAATCCAATACACTGTACCCCAGCTTGTCTTCCAAAAGAAGAAAGGGAGAAGGAGGCCTGTCAATGGAGAAAGCATAGCCCATCACACTGATCAGTGGATGTGTGTTAGGAAATTGCTTGGTCCTAGATATACTATTAAGCCAGGACTTAATTAGTAAAAAGGCAGAGTACTAAAATAAACCAAGAGACAGGATGCAAGGGAAGTGAGGAGTTAACAGGTTTGTAAACACCAGAGACTAAGGAATCAAGAGGCCCAAAGTCAAGGCCACAGGTCAAGGAGTAATCACTTCCTGCCTCTGAAAGACAGGTTAGGAGTCCAGAAAGTTAAGACAAAAATCAAAGTGCTCTATGCCCCTCAAATCCTTAGCGGACCAAGAATGCAGGGAGTCATGGACGTAAACCACAGTGTCAGCAGTCAAGAGTTAGACCTTAAGACTATGAAAGGGTGTATTTGCCCTTAAGTTGTCCTGGGAAAATCAGAGGCTACAAGAGGAGGAGGAATGGTTGTGAGAGTCAAGAGAGTTGAATGAAAAGCCAGGATGGGAATGGGAGAGCAGAGATTAGAGCAGCCGTGGGCAAACTACGGCCTGCAGGCCAGATCCGACCCGTTTGAAATGAATAAAACTAAAAAAAAAAAAAAAGACCGTACCCTTTTATGTAATGATGTTTATTTTGAATTTATATTAGTTCACACAAACACTCCATCCATGCTTTCGTTCCGGCCCTCCGGTCCAGTTTAAGAACCCATTGTGGCCCTCGAGTCAAAAAGTTTGCCCACCCCTGGATTAGAGCATGTCCTCAGGGTCAAAGCTATGTCATCTGTTGCCTTCACCTAGCATGCCCTCTTCTGCAAATAAAGCCCATCTCATCCTTTTGAGGAACAAATTACCCCAATATTAGTTCATAGGTTCAAGAGGGACTACTGCCCATGAGCCAGGCCAGGATTCCATGTCACAGTGATGGGCTTAGGGATGAGCTGTGACCCAGTGCAGGTCAATCAGCATTGCTGTGGTCTGAATGTTTGCATCCCCCCAAAATTTATGTTAAAGTCCTAACCTCTATAGATGGTTTTAGTAGGGGGGGCCTTTTGGGAGGTGCTTAAATCATGACTTCATGAATGCGATTAGTATTCTTATAAAAGAGACCACACAGTGATCACTTGCCCCTTCCATCATGTGAAGACACAGCAAGAAGGCACTGTTCATAAACCAGGAAGCAGGCCTTTACCAGCTACCACAGCAAATCTGCTAGCACCATGATCTTGGACTTCCAGCTACCAGAACTGTAAGAAAGAAATGTCTGTTGTTTATAAGCTGCCCTTTGTTACAGCACCCCAAACAGACTGTGGCAAGTGTCAACCTTGGCACTTTCTGGAACTATAGGAAGAGAGGCAATTTGGTCTAGTGCCGTGGTTCTCAACCTTCCTAATGCCGCGACCCTTTAATACAGTTTCTCATGTTGTGGTGACCCCCAACCATAAAATTATTTTCATTGCTACTTCATAACTGTAATTTTGCTACTGTTATGAATCGTAATGTAAATATCTGATATGCAGGACGTATTTTCATTGTTACAAATTAAACATAATTAAAGCATAGTGATTAATCACAAAAACAATATGTAATTATATATGTGTTTTCCAATGGTCTTAGGCGACCCCTGTGAAAGGGTTGTTCGACCCCCAAAGGGGTTGCGACCCACAGGCTGAGAACCACTGGTCTAGTGGGTTTAAGAAGCCAGTAGAATGTAGGCTTGGAGCTGGTGCTGTCTATCTGGGCTGCCTCCTGGGGACAGCTCACCTGAGATTAAAGCCAACAGAGCAGGAAGTAGGGTTAAAATACAGAGGCAGACCAAAAGAAACTGTATTCTAAATATTCTTTGAGGCCCTGGATCCTGTCATGACAAATTCATCCCCTTGAACTTCCCAATTAAGTGAATCAATAAATTCCTTTTTGTTATTTGTTACTTTCTAAAAGAGTCCTTGCTAATTCACTGTGCATAAAAACTTGCAGTGAATAATGAAAATATGGACAGAAGCATTGGAGGCACAACACTGTTTTATGGGATTACACACAAGGAATAGGCCCTAAATGTACTTCCCTCAGCTTTTTCTGTCAGAGGTCTTATTTCTGGGTCCAGCCAAACCTCCCATTGACTAAGGGAATTTTCTTTAAGACCCAAGGAAGGGCAGAGAGGTTAAGATCCCAAGGTAATCCTCTCCCACCCAGCACCTATTCACTGTGGGTGCGCTGTGTATAGGTTCTGAACAAAATTGCTCCCAATGCTAGCAACAAAAAACTTCATGCCAATACATAATTATTCATAGTGCTATTTGAGGCCCACACAAAGAATATTGCACAGACTCCATCTATGTCCAATATGTGCTTAAATCTGGAGGGTTTTATTTGTTTGTTTTTTTGTTAGAATCTTTTGGTGGTTTTAAAATATGTTCACAAATTACTTGATGCTCCTCCCTTTGAAAAGTGGAGAATAGTCCTAGCCAGTTTGGCTCAGTGGATAGAGCATCGGCCTGTGACTAAAAGATCCCAGGTTCGATTCCAGTCAAGGGCATATACCTCAGTTGCAAGTTCAATCCTCGGCCCTGGTCAGGGTGTGTGCAGGCGGCAACTCAATTGATGTGTCTCTGTCACATCGATGTTTCTCTCTCTGTGTCTCTCTCCCTCCTTTCCACTTTCTCTAAAAATAGAAAAGAAAAAAATCAATGGAAAAATATTCTCGGGTGAGCATTAATAACAAAAAAAAATACATAAAACTGAAATCACTGTACTATTACAAAAAAAAGTGGAGAATAACTTACTGCCCCTTAAAAATGGCCAAGACTTACTGATTCATGTCTGAGAAATAGAATGTGGCAGAAGGGATGCACTGTGATGGCATGTGCTCTCTCAAGATTCTAGCCTTTGGAATCAAGGCATCACATTTTTAGGAAGCCCAAGTTACATAGCGAGGACACATGAGGATATTCAGACTATAGCCACCGTAAGTCCTCAGTCAACAACCAGAATCAACCATTAGACACAAGCCTTCAGATGACTCAGCCCATCCTCAAGTCTTTGAACTGAATATGCTCCAAGGCATGGGAGAGCGGGGACAGCATTTTGCTGAGCCTTGCCTGAATTCTGGACCCATATGAATTGTGATCATAAGTGATTTTTACCATTTTTAAGCCATTGTGTTTTGGGGTAGTTTGTTACCCAGCAATAGATAACTAATACAAAGTCTAAGAACAAAGTAATGGTTGTTAGTTCAAATGCTAACTCTAGTCAACCAATAATTGTCTGGAGAAAGTTACATCAGGCTGAGCAAGGAAGAGAGGATGAAATTAAATCAGTGACATTTATCATGAGTGTGGAAGTGGGAAATGACAGCACTTGTGTCTTTTATTTGGCAATCCGGGTCTAAGGCAACTGACTGCAGATGGAGGCGGGGACGGACATTCAAAGAGGGAATGGGCAGGTAGAGGAGGTAGCAGAAAAAGCACTGGGCTTAGAGATAAGACACAAAGATTCAAATCTCAGCTACTTACCAGCTGTAGGAACTGGGATCTTCAGGTCGTTTAACTTCTCTGGGCCTTGGTTTCCTCATCTGCCAAATCAGGAATAGTGTAAGGGTTAAATTAAATGAGGTCATTATACAAATATCTGACAAAAGGTTCTCAACAAATGGGAGTGTGGTGGGAGTCCTGGCTGAACCTAAGTAAACTCTGGGTGTGTGGGATGAATTTTAGGTGGATTTGACTTTCAAAAACAGCATTAAGTTCCAGCATTCAAGGCCTTCCTAAAGCTTTAGTTCCCAAAGTGCTTTCTGTGGAATACTAAGTCTATAGAATGCTGTAGTATGTTCTGAAAATATTGGTTATGTGAGTTCTTACTAGGTGTTACACAGATAAAAATAATTTTGCGTGTGTGTGTTTTGTTTTGTTTTCTGGCTAGCATTTTTCTTTCAGAAAAAAGTTTCTGCCCTGAAAGTTTCTTGTTTACCACCAAGTTGTGGGGTGATTAGTTATGCAGCAATAGCTAACTGATACAATTTGAATTTCTCTCAAGTCATTGAGGTGCCTGTACTGGGTCCATGCTACGAAGAAATACTGAAGTAACACAATGTAGTTAAAGCCCTTTCATTGAGTTCCTCTTCACTTCTTTTCCTAATACATAGATCAAGCCCACACTCCATGCCCAGAGAGTGATTATAGTAATCTCATACTCCTTTCCAAATAAAAATAAAAAATAGAAAAAAGGGGAAAGAAATGTAAGAAAAAAACAAAACAAATAAAAATAGCTCTCTTTATGTGAAAGCAAGGAATTGTTTGTACAGGAAAATGTGTGCGGGAACCCATTAATTTTTTCCTTTGCTTTTACAGCACATTAGGTTTTTCTTCCAAGATGTATTGTCATGAGAAATATTAACTGTGGCAGGCTGAGTTTCAATTAAAGACAGAAGGCAAGGGTCATTTACCTACAGCTAAATTCTTCTTCAATAATAACAGACCTCATGAGCAAAAGGAACTTGCTGCAAGGAGAATATGACAAATTGTTACCATAGCTGTCATTTTTATTCAGACACAAATGGCTCTTGACCAGAAAATCATATTAGCTCAAAACATGATATGAAACCCACTGCTAATACCAGGAAATGTTTCTTGCATGTGGGGTATTCTCTATTGAAATCAGCAACCATGATGATAGGGAAAAAATAGCCGAGCTTCCTGACTTATTATCGCTCTTGACAGGATGACTTCGCATGTTTCAGTTTTACAGAATAACAAAATGCTATCATAAATTAAACTCTGAAAGTAAAATTATAGTCTACATTTTAAAAGCAATACCACCAATAAAATTCTGCAGTAGCATGTGGGGTTCAATGATGACAATCCTTTTCAGAAGAAAGTGTCTCACAGGAAAAAGAATACAGATGGTATCTTGTGGCTCCTTCACAGCAGGTCACGTTGCATTCCTTACTCTCTTTTAAATGCTATCGACAGAGCACCCTCTCAGCCTTCCCTTCCTCTCCATTTCTCATATTTCTTGGCCCATTCGCTTTGTTGATTTCAATCACTTGGCCCCTTCTAATTCCTCCTTTCCTTCGACCTTAGTCCTCTCTTTTCTGCCTTACCTGATACACAAAGAATATAACTGCTCCTCACATGACAGCCCTGCATTTCTCTGGTGTCAGCACAAAGAGAGAATTCTCTCTCAGACAGAGTCCAGTTACCCTGCTATTTCCCATGTCTTTCTTTTCTCAAAGATACAAGTCTCTCTGGCCCTGTTTCTGTCTTTCCAAGGCATTCCATCCGTGATAACAGAGTGAGTATATTTGGTGTTCGGACAGAGTGAAAGTAGACTTAACCATAAGCAACTTTTAAGCAGCTCTTTCAAATATTTCCCTAGAGTGGTAACAGATGTAGCTTTTAACATATGGAAGTGGACATTAAATTCAAATCAACAATTATTAGCATCTATGCCTGCCACACCTCATGCTGGGCATAGAGATTCACATAAGGCTTAGACTCTGCCATGAAGGTGAAAACTTTGCAGAAATTATAAAGAAAAGCAAAGAAAAACAGTCAACCGTTTTGTTTTTGTTTTGTTGTTAATCCTCACCCGGGTATATTTTCCCATTGATTTTTAGAGAGAGTGGAAGGGAGGGGAAGAAACAGAGAGACAGTGAGAGAGACACATCGATTGGTTGCCTCCTGCACAACCCCAGCCCGGGGTCAAGCCTGCAACTGAGGTACACAGGCCAATGCTCCATCCACGAAGCCAAACCTGCCAGGGTTAGAGTCAACCATTTTGAAATCAGACAACCAATGGGTCTGGGCTGCCTGTCACTACTTGAGCCAATTAAGCAGAGTCAGCGTTGAGTCATATATGAGCGTTTATTCCTATAATGCTGGCAGTGTAGGAGAGCAGCAGGTCATCCATGAAAATCTGCTCTGCACACCCCCATAAGCCAGCTGCTTATATGGGGTAAAAGGACAAAATTACAAGGAGAAGTAGGCAAAAAGAATAAAAATGGGTAAGTGGTTACAGATTACAGGCAATGCGGGCTGGGGGTTTGCAAAGGGCAGTGGAGGAGCCTCCAGTTTCATCACAAGGTTATTCATCTTTCCATGACAACAGGCAGCTCTTAACTCACTGGGGCGTACAATTCCCAGCCAGATCAGAATATGCTTTCTTTATTTTTTTTTTTTATTGCTTAAGTATTACAAAGGGTATTACATATGTGTCCATTTTTTTCCCCCCGCCCTTGACAGTCCCCTAGCCTCCCCTATCCCCCAGTGTCTTATGTCCATTGGTTATGCTTATATGCATGCATACAAGTCCTTTGGTTGATCTCTTACCCCCCTCCCTCCTGCCCCCCAACCTTCCCCGGCCTTCCCGCTGCAGTTTGACAATCTGTTTGAGGCAGCTCTGCCTCTGTATCTATTATTGTTCAAAAGTTTATAATGGTCTCTATTATCCATGAATGAGTGAGATGATGTGGTATTTTTCCTTCATTGACTGGCTTATTTCACTTAGCCAGAATATGCTTTCTTTAATCAGAACAAAACAATCACAATTAACAGAGTATGATTAATATTTCTTATAACTATCACTAGTCTCTACTGTTCTATTTCTGCCCCTAACAGTTTGATGGAAAACCTAGTAAATATCAGCTGAGTATCACCAATTAGAAAGAAATTATCAGATACTACTAAGCTTCTGTTTCCCCATTTTTAATATGGGTATAATGATACCCTATATAGTAAAAGCCCAGCAACCGAATGGCAGAACAACCAGAACGACCGGTCGACCAGTCGCTATGACGCACACTGACCACAAAGGGGCAAATGCCCAATGCAGGAGCTGCCCCCTGTTGGTCAGTGTGCTACCACAGTGGGAGCACTGCTCGGCTGACTGGGATGAATGGCTGCTCCCACTGCAAACCCCAGGCCAACGGGCAGGAACCCAGGCTGCAATCCTTGCCTCCTCACCCCAGGCTCCTCCTCCTCACTCCCTGCTGCCTCCTCTGGATGCCCGCAGGCTGCAGGCCGAGCAACACCACTGCTGGGTTCGCAGAGCTGACCCCGGAGGCTGGGAAGCAGGTTCGTGGCCGCTGCAGGACTGAAGCCTACTCCATCACCTCTCAGTGCTATTGTCCTTGGGCCCGGCCCGATCAGGTCCCCTGCAGAGGCAAGTGCTTCAGCTCCACAGAAGATGCTGGACCAGGGAGCAGCCACTCAGAGGGCGGGTCCACAGCTGCTCAGCAGACCAGGATGAGTGGCACTCCCACAGTGGGCCAATCCTCACAGGCCACACCCCCCACCAGTGCATGAATCCCGTCACCAGGCCTCTAGTTAATAATACTAGTACTTGTTTCACAGGATGATTATGCACCAAATTAGAATATGATTTAACGTATCTTGCAACTGTGCAATTGAATTTCAGTTACATTCAATGAGCATTTATTCAGCACCTACCTTGGGCCAGGTCCTGTGCTAGAGAGACTGAAAATAAAAAGGAATCTGTAATCCCTTGAAACTAAAGCACCCAAGGTATAAGGGAGTAGAGAGACATGTAAAAATATATAATACAGATATAATATAGGGTGATTATGTGCTGTAATAGAGATAAAGATAATGTACCAGGATTTAGAGAAAGAGATGAAATTATCCAGCCAGGGCTATGGAGAGTAAGGGGGAAACCGAAAAGGGCATCAAAGGATGCTATAGAAACAGAATAGATAATAATAACTACCTCTCATTAAGCCCTTTCTATGTACTCGTCACTGTTAGGTACTTTATAGAAAATATTCTTTTTTTTTTTTTTTTAATCCTCACCCGAGGATATTTTTTCCATTTATTTTTAGAGAGAGTGGAAGGAAGAGGGAGAGACAGAGAGAAACACCAATCGATTGGTTGCCTCCCACATGCCCCCCTGACCAGGGCCAGGAGCCTGCAATCAAGGTACAGGCCCTTGACCAGAATCTAACCCGGGATGCTTCAGTCCGCAAGCCGACACTCTATCCACTGAGCCAAACTGGCTAGGGCGACGATATTCTTAATAAGTAGTAAAGACTAGATAGAGGGTTCCCCTTCTTGAAAACATTGTACACCGTTAACTTACAGAGTTTGCCCATATAGTGGCTATCAAGTCTATTAGCCTGGAGAGACTAACAGCTGATTGCCCAGATAGAAGGTGGGGGGGGGGGGGGGGAGAGCACTGAAGTAAAAGTGAAAAGTGATGGGTCTTCATCCTGCTCTGTTGCTATGTAGTGCTAGGTATATCCCTTAGCTTGCTAGTCTTCAGTTTCCTCATCTACAAAATGAAGACTTAATACCAACTGACCTTGTAAGGTTTGGGGGATAATGGATATGCAAAAGGCTTTCAAGTTGTTGAGTGGCTGGAGGCTGGGCTCATGTGGGATAGTAGGGCAGATACTTTTTGTTAATGTTCAATGTTGCCCTGTAAGAAAGTGGGCCCCTTGCTTCCAATCTATTGTTCGTGTGTGTGCGCGCTCATGTGTGTGTGTGAATGTGTGTGTATAGAATTGCGTTAAGTCCCTGGCTTTTAAATATTAGCTAATTTTTAATGGAAAATATTAGA